GATACAACCAACCTGGGTGTAGCTGGCAACATGAAGACGCTCCTCGAACCTAATAATTTTGATTTCACCATCAATATCTTGGAAGATATTTATTATTTGTAGGAATTTTGTTATATTGTATTTTAATTAATATTTATTCTTTTACTGTAAATCGCCCAAAGTCGCTTCCAGTAGGATGGGTGGTGACAAATGTGAAATATACATAAATAAATACAAATAAATAAATTTTAGTCTGAATTCACAACATGAATTTTTGTAGCCAGGGCTCAAAAATGCCAGTTTGTTACATTCCCAGCAATTTTTGTTAAACAAATAAAATTAGAACTTGTCATGATTAGCTATCCAGATGACCACCTTCTCTAACCTAAAGGATGATATCAGCCCTTCAGGGTAGACTAGACGAGGATGCTAGAGTTATACATACTAATACTACTTTACTATAAGGTTACACTAACAGAATCTTGCACATCTGAATGCGCTTCCCCCCTCCCTCACTCCATCTTCATGAGAACTAGGGAGGGTCATGTCCGAGTCGCTTACTCAAACTACACTCCTTCCCTGGACTCAGATGTATTTTATCTGACCACTGCCTTGGTTGGGGCTCTTCCTCCTGTTCCTCAAGGTTATTCCTACTTCCCATTACAGGTGGTGAAATCTATGTTTTGTTTTTTTTCATTGTTACTCCTATTGTTGATTTTCAAGTTCTTCAAAAAGCATTTTTCATACCATCATTAATGAGCAGTGAAATTTCAGTTTAATGGGTTCTCATTTAGCAGACCTCTGGTATAATGGGCCAAACTGCCATCTAGTCATCCCTCAAAATAATGGACAAATCTGTTGCATCCAATGTAATCTTGATGAGGCAGTTAAGTTTATGTTAATTTTTTCCTAATTTCATGACATACTTTCATATTTAATGGATGTGCAGAAGAAATAGACATCCCCTCCCCACAAAAAGGTCCATTACAACAAAGTTTCACTATAATGAACATCTTCATATCACAAGTGCTCTATGAGAGGCATGTACACTCAGTTTACATGAGACTTGTAGAAAATCACATTTATCTGTATGGATGAACCCAAGAGACAGGTAGGATGAACTCCAAAACATGAACCCCAAAACAGATAGGATGCAACTGCCTAGCAATTCCCCTTCTTGATGGGTACAGTCATATAACCTACATATGAATAAGCTCCATTCAACATATTTAACTGACTTCTGATAAAATATGCGATACAGTAAATAATATTTTTGTGCAATTATTGCAAGTGAAGTGACATGATATACAGGTAGTGCTTGCTTAACAACTGCCTGGTTTAATGACCGTTCAAAGTTATGACAGCACTAAAAAAGTAACTTTATGACCAGTCCTTGTGCTTATCACAACTGCAGCATCCCCGCAGTCATGCTATTGAGATTTGGGCATTTTGCAGTTGGTGGGCATTTACGATCGTCACAATGTCTCACAGTCACCATTGGCATTTATGTGCTTCACAGCTGGCTTTCAACAAGCAGAGTCAATGGAGAAGCCAGCAATAAAATCACAAGTCGTGGTCACATGATGTCTCACTTAAACAACCATGGGTGATTTGCTTAACGAATGTGGTGGAAGTGGATATAACTTAGGTATGTCTGAATCCAACTTTATGTATTTGAATAAACAAGCTGATTTCAAAATCAAAACACTGCATGAAAATGTTTGACTCTTATGAGAGTAATCTCTTTTGTTCAGCCTAATCCCAGATTGGTTAAGCATCTGATTGCAGTTATGTAAAACTTAAGGAACAAGAATGAAACAGCCAGCAAAGTTTTCCATATACAGTGGTACCTCGGTTCACGAACTTAATTCGTTCCACGACTCTGGCCGCGAATTGAATTGGTCGCGAACTGAATCAAATTTTCCCATAAGGTTCAATGTAAATACAGTTAATCTGTTCTGACCCCTACGAATGTTCTTTTAAACCACAAAAATATGAAACAAAGTACAATACAGTACAGTATGAAGCGAGAGAACACTAACCTTGCTTGACACGACTTCTGGCATGGAGGACAGGAAGGCGGGTGGGGAGGCGGTTATTGTTTGGAGGGAGAATCCCCCCCCTACAGGAAGCCACGACCATGTGTCACAGCAGGGAAAATAGCCGCGGATCCTGTTCGTCACCCGATGCGGAGTTCACGAACGGAAGCAAAATTTTGCGAACGGTGCTGTTCGTGAACTGAATTGTTCGTGAACAGAAGCGTTCGTGAACCGAGGTATTACTGTATTTAAGCAAAATCTATACAGCTGCAGCTCACTGTATATACATCATTTCTGGTCCTAAAAGAGCCCCCCAA